TTCAGGGATGAACGGCGGTTGCTCGTAGTGCTGGCGTAACCGTGCAGACGGATGATATTTTGAGGGAGAAAATATATTAGACTTATAGGTACGGGAAAAGGGCTGACACACTAGACTGATAGGACTAAAACGTGCGATCTCGCATGAGTTAGCACCATCAAAGGCGAAACACACCCTCCTCAGAAATGCCCCACTTGTAGGTAAGCACTTTGATTCCCTCATCCCCCCCTCCCAACCCCATAAAACATCTAGAAGGACCTAGACAACTCGATCGTTCGCGAACACTGCATGATTTTTGAATTTTTCAGGTTGAGCTAGATCAGCTCAGCTAGATCGGCTTTTACGGCTAACGTTGCTAATAAACACAACCAACAAATGCAATGAAGGGACCTGCAAAAGTTTCAGTAGAAAGTGAGCATAAGTCTGAAGAGTGGTCAAGTCCTCCTCAGCAAGGTCCTGGCCTGTCGACGTGCTCGCACAGGCAAGAATGTTTTCGGCCAACTTCCGACTACCGGTCCACTCTGAGAGCTTGTCAGCAGAACCAGGATTGTCATTTCTAGCTCTCAACAGACCGTCTCGGCTCGGAAAGTTGGCTATAATGGAGATGAAAGCGAAGTCGTCAAGAGAACGAGTCTCCTGGTCTCGGACAAGCTCGGGAAAGTGTAGAGCGTAGGCAGCCTTCAAACGCTTGACTGAACTGCCAAGACTGTTGTCCATGCTGTCAAGGAGGCCGAGAGAACGGACCACGCCGGTGTCCGCCAGGTGCTGGAGCAAATCAAGTTGGAGACGAGCGCGTGAGAGCGCTACAATCAGCCGCGCTCTGTGCTCCGCCTCCTTGCCCGGAGCGATTTCTTGGAGACTGGTGCGGGCGGCCGCGGTTTTGTTCTGACTGACGGCACCCGGTTGCACCATCAGCGAACGCAAGAGGCGAGAGGAATTGGCGCGAATAATACGGATGATTTCCTTCACAGAAGCATCCCAGATGCACTCAAAGCCCATGTCTAGGGAACTTGGTATGGAGAGAAGAGGCAAGTGAATGTGGCATTCAGCACAAAGTATGAGGCAAATGTGTGCTGTGGGGTTAATTTAAATTTAATTAAAAAATACAGCAGACGATTTGATGTGGCGATCAGTGTACTAGTTGAGGTTTTCTTCCAAGGCTTCATGTCAATGTTTGACCAAGGCATGAAAACAAACGGAAAAAAAGGAAAGGGTTGATGGAAACCAAGGAGAATCAACGGGTTTTGCTAATTTAGCAAGGTCTTCAACACAAACCCAAGGCGTCTAATCTACGCTATGGTACCAAAGAACATCACGAGTTAGCCCAATTATATGTTTTTTTCTCGGATACAGACAGCGAAAATCGACAAAAAAGTAGGTTTGTAAGAAAGGTTCTCTTTTTTTGATTACTTTCGATCCCATGAGTGAAAGCAGATGCTGACAGTGACCGTTGAAAATAGTAAACTAAAACGAAGTATTGCAATTTGACCGGTCACCTTTGAGGAAAGAATGTGACCTGCACGAGCCCTGCCAGCAAGAAGTCACGCAATCTATCAGTAAAGGACTCAATAAACCACAGAAGGCTGTGCATTTCCGGGTTGTGCAGATAAATAAAAGACAAATCGCCTACTAAAAAGCACGCAAAGGCACAATAT